TGCCTAGTCACAAGAAACAAAGTTTAGAAAACAATCCAAGTGTTATAAGTATGTTAACACATAAAACCGTCACGAGCATCTTTGGGGAAAGCACATTAGTTGATCTTGATTAGATCAGATTGCGTCCCAGAAAGACTGCAGGTCATAATTAGTAGCTGACAAACGCAGACGCTGATTCTATTTTCTTCTAATATTTAGGCGTGTTAATAAACTTTTGAATATAATATATTATGTAGCTAAGGTACTTTGTATTAAGATTAAATGCGACGCCAGTGCATAAAACTATATATCCTCGACTTTGAGATATTTTTAATATAATAACATTTTTAGCTATTACGCTAATAGTTACTTTGATAACAAAATCAGCTTTCTGGCTTCAAAAGTATAATCAAGCAGATTTCTGATTTTAGGGATATATATCTATTGCTTATTATTTAACATGCCGTTAACGTTTCAAATTAAAACTATAGAAGGCTATTTACAGCAATATCAGTATAAATGTGTTCCTTTCTTACTTTGAAATAAAAAAAATCAACGAATAATTGTTCATTTTTAATCAATAATAAACGATTTAACAAGGGTTTATTTTTATCAAAAATGGAAATTGTAAAAACTTCTTTATGAAGTTAATTTCGGTAAATAAAAAAGTGAAAACCTTTTGAGTTATAAGTTTTGCAGATCAAAAGCAGTTTTATTTTAAACATTCGGAATACTTCCACGAAGAAACAAATTTGAAAAATAACAAATGAAAGATAAAAAAATAATTTGCAGTTACTTAGAATTACTCATCTCACCCACAAATAAACCTTGTTTTACCAAAGAAAAACTTTTAAATTAGTAATTGGAAATATTCTTATTAAAATTGAATTTAATATATGTATATATAGAGGGAGAGAGTGTATTCTCTGACAAAGAAAACCAAAACCAATCCAATATCATGAAACCCATAAGTTGTATTACTATAAACGCTGTTTATGTAATGCTGTGTTATAAATATAACTTCCTATATGTGGGACAAACCTTCACACGCTGTATATGTAATGCTGTGTTATAAATATAACTTCCTATATGTGGGACAAACCTTCACACGCTGTATATGTAATGCTGTGTTATAGATATAACTTCCTATATGTGGGACAAACCTTCACACGCTGTATATGTAATGCTGTGTTATAGATATAACTTCCTATATGTGGAACAAATCTTCATACGCTGTTTATGTAATGCTGCGTTATAGATATAACTTCCTATATGTAAGACAAACCTTCACACCCTGTTTATGTAATGCTGTGTTATGAATATAACTTCCTATTTGTGGGACAAACCTTCACAGCTGTAATAGAACGTGCTAACGATCACAACTCTTCCATCACTACTAACAGAAAACTGCCTCTGACAAAACAATTGAATATACCCAGCCATACACTTCGCGTCGTCAAAATGATCGGTTTAACATCAAAAGTAGCCAGAGAAATTCAATATGCTTTTTGGATAACAACTCGAAATACTGTAACGGGGGATGGCATTAATCTTCATGTTGTGATTGTTGACTTTGGTTCATTTCTAAAAACAAAGTTTCAAATGTAGCTTGTTTCAATTCCAAACACCCTATTTAACCCGCAGTTTGTTACCTTCCGTTCCATTCTTAATTGTTGTTACCTTTTAGTAAACCTCCAAGGGTTATTCCATGTTTTTATGCTATTCTATTGTTTTAAAAATTGTCGTTTTAGTTTTAACGTTTTTTGCGTGTTTGGTTATCTCTATCAACAGGTGGAGACTTGTACTTCTTTTGATTATACATATATATAAAAAGAAAGAAAGGTAATATATATGTATATAGTAGAAGTAATATCTTCGATCCCAGAGTAGTGTATTTCTTACCTTCTGATAGTATTCCAACGAGAGTCAGTAACAGGAATATACTCTTACGTTCAGATGAATAGTCTGAACATTAGACATTTTCTGGAAAATCGATAACCTTCAGATCGTCATTTTACTGGATAGATCTCGGTATATAAAATGGTTTATTTAAAATACCAATAAACTTCATTTGGCTGAATTTCTTTGTAGTTCTCGAATCAAAGCCAGTATTGATCCTAAAAATGTAGTAATCCTTGGAGCGCACAAATCTTTTTTTAGCAGCACGAGGAAACTGTGAGCCGACACTCTAAGAAAAAGACGGATTCGGCAAGAAGGGTTTAAATCTCATAACATACAATTCCAACACTCTAATGAAATAGAAAAAAATAAAGAAAAGAAAACTCCAGTACGAGATATAAAATCATCCCAAATAAAATATGTGAATTTTAGAAATATCGTTCTTTGTGCATTTTTAGAATAAAGCGTTTTTAATTTAAAAACAAAATAAAAATGGAATATTACCTAACACATGTTAAAGTGTAGTTATTTTATATTGTTATGTAGTTTTCAATACATATTATAAGTAATCTGTATATAAAACACTGTTAACATAGATTTCAATTCATGTTACAACTAATCTGTATTGCAGGATACACTGTGAATATGCGATATGCAGGCATATGATGCTTTGTATCTGATTTAATTATATGGGATTTAAAAATATTTTTGGTGTATTTGTTTTATATGCGGTTTTATAGCTATTGGCTCAGAAAGTCGTTCCAATTGCTTTGTTCAAGTTCCTTTGTTTCTTTGTTCTTTATAGTAGATTGGTGTCTATTTTGGCCGAGAGGATAGCACGGTAACATATAGCATACGGATTGAACGAAATAGTGATTGTAATATCCCTTATTAGTCGACATGGCAGTGCCTGTATGCTACATTCGATCATGTTGTGAGAAATAACAAGTGTCACGAGATGAAGCCGACTACAGGACAAAGAAATCGAATTTACTCGTTCCATTCTAGTGCGCTTTATTGATTCACTTCTATCTTGAATTACTTGAATAAAGATGTACCTTAAGAAATGAATCATTATTCAGTAGAAGTGACTATCTTTTCATGTGCGCAAAAAAGTATTCTGTGTTCTCTTTTTTGCCTGTTTCCTAATAAATATTGTGTAATTTTTTATACTTGTCTAATCTCATTATTTCACACAAACACACACAATAGAAAAAGTTAGTCAAGCTATCAAACAAATTACTATCCTTACTTCCTGAACAAATCTGCTGTTATTACCGAGTCAAACTATCTGATACTTATCGGGAAATCAGTTTCCACCTGAAAATACCACTGACGCAGTTTTCATCATGTCTTATAATTAGTCTGTATTGTAAGATTCACTGCTAACGTAGTTTTGTTCATGTCTCATAACAAATCTGTATTGTAAGATAAGTTGTTAAGATAGGCAAGACATTGTTAATGTAGTTTCTATCTATCATAACACTAGTCTGTATTGTAAGACACGCAGTAAGCATACTGTTGTGGGCGAAAATTTTATTATTTTAATGTTTTGTTCAATAGAGAGAGTTTTTTACACTATTCATCCCACTATTATGTTTCCACTAAACAGTTTAGCCGTTTCTTTTGATTGCTTCTCCAAAGCAACTTGCTGTCCTCGAGGTCATTTAGCCACCTGTAAATAAAGCCAGGTTATTGGTCAGATCTCTGCATTTTGCTGATTTTAATCCTAAACGTAAATATTAATAACAGTTTTTCATTAGAACTAAATGATAAACTCAACTTTACAAACCACTTCCTGGACGTGAAGGTTTTAACTAAACCCCTGAAATAAAACATCTGAAGCATAAGACATATTCTTCAAAACATTTAAACCCATGAACTGAAACCCCGACTAGCTTCATAGTTTTCATCTAAAGTTTTTATATTAACTCCATGTTTTCACAATAAAATAGAAAGAAAGTGTGATTTAACCCATTGATTGTGGCTGTATAAACGTGCGCGAAATGTTTGCAAGCCTTACACCATATACGGCACACTCACATTCAACTGTCGGAGGTTTACTAATGACTCTAAGTTTGAGATATTCAGCAGTAACCAATAGCATTATACTGAAAGAAGAGAACAGGGGCAGCAAATAATGGGTTAATAACAAGAACATCATTATATATAATCATTATTATAAATGTGAACTCTTATGTATAAATATTTGTGTGTGCGTGTATGTGTGTGTTAGGGTCCATTATCCAGAGTTGGCTAAGTCAGTGAGAGTAGTTTTTGGTATGATAACTGAAAACTTTCCGACGATGTCCACAAGCTATTTTGTTTTAGAATATTTGTCTGAAAAGGGAGATAAAAAAGACCCTGAAACAGGGAGCATTCCCTCTTTTTTTACACACTTTTGGCTCTGAAGACCCACATACTTAATCAGTTAAATGAGTCAGTTATTATCTTCCACAAAGCAAGGTATGCAATTAGCATCTAATGAGGTCATTTAATAACTAAAGAAGGAAGGAAGAGGAACATTATCCAACATTGTCCTTTGTACAATTGTCGCTTCCTTAGCAAGTGCTCTCAGCTAGTAATAATAATATGGATATAGCTGTACCACAAAACGTGATTTCAGAATACCGATAACATGATAATGATAAAGACAGAGCTGAGTAGAAGGTTTGGGTTCATAATACTAATATCGTGAAATCATATAGACAGAGCAGCACTAGAAAATTCAAACTGTCTTCACTTCAGTGAATCATGTTTTGAAACCTCTTATTTTTTAATGAAATTGTCATATTTGTTTTTAATATAACGACTAAAAAGGATTGTGGCTCTTTTATTGGGAGTATAAATATATATATATATATGTATATATAATGATGATGAAAACGCCTGTTTAGTAAGCACAAAGTTTTGAATGCGTGTACATAGTATGGAAAAATTATGTATCATAGCTTTCATGGTCATCCAATAGTTACCCAATTTATCTTCATTGGTTATAAATGTTACAGTCGTGTACTGATTATTAATATTCTCTTTTGTTAAGTATTTTTCAGATGATTTCAAATTGATACGAAGGTTGTGTGCTGATGTGAAATCTTCTCTTTTTTTCGTGTTTTTCTTAGACGATCTCCAATGAAAGGAACGATGATTTATTAAGTTAATCCTCGACATGAAGTCGTCCGTTCCGCAAATCCAGTGCTCGATGTCTTCAAACGAAAGAATGACAGGTAGCATTGTCATCGCGAGTGCATTTGTGATTTGTTTTACGTTGTTCGGTGTATTTAACCTTATCGGTGGAAGCGTGCTTGTTTCGGTAGCTTGTAAGCAACAAGTCGTTCTTGAACGAACCCTGTTTCACGACTTTCCAAGCTTACGTCAGCAGAACCAGAAATATGGAAAATTTTGGAATCCCCTTATGGTTGTCGGTCCGACTCTCTTGATAACGGGAATGATGTTGGTGATCGTCGGTTTTCTTTTAGGGATTGTTGCCTGTCGTTCTTCAACTCACTTGAAGAAATCCCTTCCATACGTTTCATCCTTATCATGTGTCCAAATGTCCAGTCTTAATGGCAAAAACCCTGAGCAAGAAACCAGTAAAGATCGCTCAGCCACTGAAATTACGAACATTTTGATCAACCACTCCGAAAAAAAGGGTAACCGAGATTCTAACCCCGACGATCACTGCTCTCAGCAAAAGGTTGTTGTGGACATTCATATTCCATCAAGCACAAGAGAAATTCCAAAATCTAAGGAAGAACCTCGCAAAGCATCCATGGACAGCAGAACTACCGAGGAAACGGAAATTCCGTCACTGATTATACAAGACCATACTGATGAAGCTGAGTACAGCAACCTTACTGCTTAGTATTTAATGTTCTTACCGTGTGAATATTGTCAGTTTCTATTTTTAAAAAATGTGCTAATTAAAACGTTGTAAAACATCTATGTTTAAGCACTTTGTCACTGTTAGTATGTAGAAATCAAACAATAATACAAGCTTGGTATACATATTTTCAGAAAGTATGTTCAGTGGCTAGTATGTCTAATGTCATGTTTTCCCTTTGCTATTTATATTGTAAAAAATATTCTTATGATTGTTTTTACTTTTAACTTGTTAACTCGTTATTAAAGATAAAATATCACGTGATTTGAGCTTGACGTTTAATTCAAAATTGCTAAACAACTGTTGTAAATCAAAACATTCTTTTGTCAGTAAACAATAAAATCAAACATTGTTTACCTCAGTACATCTTGCATTTTTATATGGTTGTCGAAACAAACTGTATTATTAGGTATTAATTATACTAACATGCTTTTGGCGACTTATTACTGAATATGGTTAATATTAATTGTCTATAATCGACTCAACTTGGTATTTATCTGTTTTATTACATTTTGTAATAATCATACCAATTCAACTTTCTTAACTAACTCTTAACACAACGTTTCATTGCTAATCATGTGTCAGTATTTGTATATTTGAACCTGAAACTTCAGGAACATTTGAAGGACCAGATATCGTTAAAACAATAAAGAGTGCCTCAAGAAGACTCCTCTCATAACCACAAAGGATGTTATACCTTCTTCGGACGATTTCAAATTGCAGAGACATAATACCTAAGTAACTTATTATATCAGGCAAGAAAGATATTTTCACAAGTACATAAGTCTAGTCATTCCGCCAATACAGTACAAACAATATAATTTGTGATACAATCTAATCTGAATAGCTTCTATTTAACCAACTTATTCAATATTGTCCGCGCAGTAACTCTGACAAATACAAGAAACTGGTCAAAGCTTAACAGGTCCCAAATACTTCTATTTAACTACAACCTATTTCCAACATGGCTACCAATTGAAAGAAGGTGTGGCAATCGGAGCTCCCCTATCACCAGTACTTAACAAGTTGTTAATGGAATAACGTAAGGATGATTCCTTACAAAGATCTCCACTTTAATCGAAAACTCGTTGTTGTTGTTTTTGTTATCTATATACTCAGTCTTTAATTATGTAGACAGACATTAAAAATTCAGTTTTAACAAGATTATATCCACTTATGAAATTATATACAATTATAAAAATTGGGACATATCTTTATATAAATATCAGATTTTTAATACTTTAGAATTTTTCAAATAAAAAAACAGCTATGCTATATCATTCAATACCTAGAGGATTAAACACGTATTTTTAATTCTATAAAATTCAAAGTCCTTGGCCTGGCATGACCAGGTGGTTTAGGCGCTCGAATCGCAATCTGAGGGTCGCGGGTTCGAATCCCCGTCACATCAAACATGCTCGCCCTTTCAGCCGTGGGTGCGTTAAAATGTGACGATCAATCCCACTATTCTTTAGTAAAATAGTAGCCCAAGAGTTCGCGGTGGATGGTGATGACTAGCTGCCTTCTCTCTAGTCTTACACTGCTAAATAAGGGACGGCTAGCGCAGATAGCCCTCGTGTAACTTTGCGCGAAATTCATAACAAAGAAACATAACAAACAATCCCGTTCTTCTATTTAAACCCAAACGTCAGTTGGTGCTTCTGCATGGCTGCATTTCCTCATATCAGTAGTTCCAAATTATAGATAGCTATTCCTAAAATCTAATGGGGTCTTTGATTTGGCCGTTCAGAACATTTGCGCATAATATACCGTTCCAGTTTAAAATGTCAGTTTTATACCAATTATTGATTTCCTAAGATTTAGGAAACGAAGATTTCTAACTAACCTTGTTCATACTGTCGAGTAGGTATGAGATAAAATAATTAAATTTATCATCAGTGGAAAATAAATCATTATATTGTTCACGCTATATAATGGAATATCGTTTGAACTACTTGGAAATGATAGAAGATCACATTATTGCAATGTTATATCACTCTATAATGAAGCCTTCATCCCTGTAACTTATTTAGTAAATACCAGGCTGCAAATAAATGACATAAAAGAGCGCTCGTAGTGGGCATTTCCGTGAAGAATCTCAGTTTATATTATGTTTATCAACAAAAATCGTAAATAAACAAGAATAGTTGTGGCCTTCATAGGTAAACGTTCAACCAACAGGGAGGTACTAAGAATTACAATAACGGGAGGATAAAAAATGAATATGGACAGCAAAGGAGAAAGAAAACTCAAGCAAGTTCAAAAGAAAGAAATGCCATTATTTCTCACATCAATTTGAATTTCAAGAAGTGCTGGGGCATTTACTGCAATAATGACTAGATGTTAGGATTTTTCCTGGCTGCTATAACTAAGGAAAAGGCAAGAGTCTTCATCATACCACAAATACTGATGGAAATATATATCTATAGTCAGACAAAAAATTCTCGTGCAGTAGTCCTCCGTCCTTGATTACCCATTTTAGTGACCATTATCATTTTATAGTTTCAAGGGGAAATTAACTTTCAACTCACATTAGCTTGTATAAGCCTTTGCACCACTCCTTCATCTGAGTATCGCCTACACACCACAGGACAAAGGACATAGAAAATTGGCCAAACAAATATACATATGTAAATATAGTGAACTATCACAGTTTGTCCGTAAATCTGAGATTTGATCCCAAACAAATTATTTCATAGTATACAGCTCCTGGTACAGCTCTTTTGGAAAAGGCAGACATACCTTTTAAAGTTAAAAGGAATTCAAATGGTATAACAAACACATTTTGCGGTTAATCATTTTTCTGAAGAAAAAATCGAGAAAAAGTTGAAAATGTGCATAAAATTTTTATTTCTTGATCATTTTCTTTATTGAAGGCTCATTTGTTTTGAAAAGGTCTATTATTAACATATCAAAGTTTTAGGTTGCTCTTTATGGTAAAGAAGCAGTTTTTCTGGGGGCAGAAATTCAAAATTATAATAAAATAGTATGCAAACTGGATTTTTCAAACAAGTTTGACAATCAGAACTAGTTATAGACGGTATTCAAATAAGTCGGTATGAAAAATATTTAACTAATTCTAGCGTGAGGTTATATATTACCAACAAACTTTGTATTTCTGTTTGTTCGTTTTTTCCGTTAAAACAGTTACAATGAATACGTGTACTCTATCTATTGATTCTCTCTATAATGGAGAAAATACTATTCTCTTAAGACACAAAAGCGCAGAGAAAAAAAATCAGGCCAAAGTAAAAGAAATGACAGCATTTTCGTAGTATCTAGCAAGTGTGTACACAAAGACTTTAGAAAACGATACATTAAACAACAAAGTACAGATATTGAACTAAAACGAAAATCATGTAGCCCTGATACCGATACGCTGGTAGAAAGTAATTACTTCAATAGAGGGACCTACAAAAGATACTACATCATCACTCCAGTGTGAAACACATATTTATCCACGAGCTCTATTAGAGCTTCTATACCTCTGAGGAAAGAAAAAATACGGATGTTATTTGGAAAGTTATTATCGAATAATCTGTTGAGCCCTCTCTTTAGTACATAGTGTACGTTCCTCATAGACGCGATATGATATATAATGCCATTTCTAATGCCTATATTGACTTTGTAATACCAAGGTATGGTAAGGTGATAATTGAATTTGATGGATACATAGATGGCTCATCTACTGAGGACGTAGCCCATGATAGACTAACAGGAGGATACACTGGCACAGTAGTCTAGTTTACTGGAAATATGGTTCTTACTTTGAAAAACAAAATTTCTGATAACAAAGCAAGTAAACAGTGAATGCCATCATTGTTCAGCGACAGACTACAACGTAGTGCATATGGAATGCATCATACTACAAGAGATGTAGATTTGTTGATTGTCCAAACAGTCATTGTATCATTGGATCGATTGATACTGTCTCATTGATGAGGACACAGATCTTATTATTATTTTTTGCTATCATATAGGACTTGATACTCAAATGATCTATTTCAGAACAGAACCAAAATAAAATTTGAGAAAAAGTTTTAAGAAATTGGACATGTATTTAGCAAATACTTTTTTTTGGTCCAGCTGTATGCAACAATATTTTGTTTATACATTCCATACTAGGATGTGACTCAACAGCCAATGTTTTGGTTATAAACAAGATTACGACACTTATGATAAACAACGTTGTTTATTGACAAAAAGGGGACATGGAT